AGAGAGTGCAGAAATACAGGCTGAATACCACGACAATTGCCAAAAGATGTCCTATTTCCGATGACAACATCTCACTTGAGCCAATAATGATAAGTCCTTGGCCCCAAATTCAAGCTGAGACCCTGGATGGGAGATGTGCTAGAGGGACAGTTGGGGTTAGACAGACGGCTTGGGGCAGAGATACTGGGTAGTCTTTTCTGCAGATTCTCAAAGCATCTGGCGTTTGCTAGGGAAGAAGCACTACAGCTGACTTGAACTCAAAGTAAAGAGCCATATACCTGAGGTTGATGTCAAACCTGAACGTGAAGAAGTCTCTCTTCTGTACAGTGGCAGTAAGGACATCAGTATGACTGGACTAGGAATATGAACTTAGCAACAGGCATGCAAAGGCAGGAGCAGAGAATGTAAACACAGGAACCAGGGAACCACTTGGGGAGTGACAGAAGTGTCCCCCAGAGGAGGACAGATGCCACCTCACTAGACAGAGCCTTGGTCATTCAAATCCCAGCAAATGTCCTGATGAGGCTGAGCTCCCTAACAAAGAACAGCACTTAGTCACATCCTCAGGCAGCTTCCAAGCAAAAGTGGAACCTATCTGATGAACAAATGAGGAATTAGCCAGTCTAGTTCTTTTAATAAGATGTATCACATTTAGTCAGCAACCTCCTACCAAACCATCCGTCAGAATCATAGAGACATGCATGTATAGCAATAAGGAAAGGACCTTTCCCTCTCAATGATACTAATTTTTGCAAAATCACTGTACTAGAAACCCAGGGAAGAATGCATTCTAAGATTTTGGAAACCTGACTCTGCACGGAAGCTCACCCCCCACACCTGACCTCATGACCCACTCGTACTGCAAAGGACTGCCACCAGCCCACCTGCGGGAGGACCACCTGTTCCAGGAACACCTGCAGTCAGCCCACCTGATGGGGGCCCAGCTGCAGTGACAAAACCCGCATTGGGTCCACTTGCCGCCAGCCCTGCTGCAGGCCCAGCGTGCGTGCTCCCTCTCGGGGGGTCCCTCTCCAACAGCAGACCTCGTTCTGAGAGGAGGGCAAGCCACACAGAAAGGCCACATCTAGGCATTCCAGTTGACAGGCCCAGCTAAGCCCACCCCAGGCATCACACGTGTGAGTGAGGAAGCTAAGTGATTCTAGCCTCTGGCCATCTGAATATTTCCAGCTGAGGTCCCAGAGGTCATCGAATTGTGTATGCAGAAACATCCCAGCTCGACCAGAGCAGTACACAGACAACACAGCATGAGAGGTCTTGGACACCCGGAATACAGCTGGCAGAAAACAGGCTGAGATTAGTGCTAGTGATACACTTGTGCTGTTTTTCATGAAGAAGGAAGGATGGTTCCAAGAACCAAGAGCCCAAAAGGCAAAGCCAAGAGCCACGGGGAGTTATTCCCAGGCATGGAAACCTAATCAAGGAACTGCCAACATTTGCCCAACTAGATTTCAGAATTAGACGGGGAACTGCTTTATATTCCCCTTGCTCCTCACCCTTAGGAAAGAAATGTCCACGTCAATTATCTTGTGCCTGTTCTACTGTTGTATGTTGAGTGTGTGAGAGCCAGGCAAAGGAGTCTTTAGTTTCACAAGTCTACAGATCTAGGAGAATTATACTCTGGAAGCTGTACTTAAGGAGATGCGCCCAAGGAGACTCATCCACACTCGGACCTAATTTCAATGATGGGATTCTGGACTGTGAGCTTACACTGTAATAAGATGAGATTTGGGGACCTTAAGAGGGAGGGAGGGTAGCCCTGACTGGTGTGGCTCAGTTGGTTAAGCGTCACCCCTCAAGGCAAAAGGTCCGGTTCGATTCCCAGCCAGGCAGGTCCCCAGTTGCGGATGTGCAAGAGACAACTGATCGATGTATCTCTCACACATTGCTGTTTCTCTCCCTCCCTCTCTCCCTCCCTTCCCCTCTCTCTAAAAATACACAGACAAGAAGGAGGGAGTGTATTTAGCATGCAAATCACTGGGGAACAGAGAAGCAGCCTGTGTTAGGCAACCTCTCAGACACTTCCAGTTGTCCCCAGACCCTGCTTTTCATACCTTTGTGGAGTCCCTTCCCCTTGAGTGTGCGCTGGATTTAGTCACTCACTTTTAATGAACAGAGTGAACTTGGTGGGATGCCACTTCCAAGGTTAGGCTGTAAAGGGACTGTAACTTCCATATCATGTGCTCAGTCTCTCCCTCCTGGACCACGTGCTCTGGGAGGATCCAGCTGCTTTGCTGTGACAGCAGTTGACCACTGTATGCAGAAGCCCACTTGGCAAGGAAGTGATATCTCTGGCCAACAACTGGCAAGAACCTGTGGCCTGCCAACAGCCACAGAGGGAGCTTGCAAGTGAATCCTCCCCTATCCAAGCCATGAAGTGGCTGCAGCTCCAGCCAGCGCCTCAGCAGCTGCCTCACACGGGACCCTGAGCTAGAGGCACGGGGCTGAGCCACGCCCAGACTTCTGACCCACAGACACAGTGAGATACGATGTGTGTTGTTTTCAGCCACTAAGCGTTGGGGTCGTTTGTTACGCAGCAATAGGTAACTAGCATGATGAAACGGGTCCATGCATCAAAATGTAACTTAAAGTTGTATTCTTCATCATTAACAAACTGTTACTTGAGTTACAAAGCTTAATGATTGCTACAAATCTTCATTCTTAATGAAAAACTTATTCTTAAAAGCAATAATTAAGGAAAAATTTATTTCATAATTTTACATTATATATATATATATATATATATATATGAATTCTTACATTTCCAAACCGTAACACGGTGTCTATTGTTTGGCAAAAGTAGGTTTACAGTTGTGAGTACACGAAACGCAGGGTTTATTCTTGGATTATCATGTATTCATTATTGCATCCCTTTCCATGCGGACAGCCGTACACCCACTTGTGCCCCACCCTGTATCGTTCGTATTTGCATACAACCGAGCAGAGACGGGAAGGGCAAGCCGGGCTGCGTCTGAGAAGGAAAGAAGATCAAGCGCGCTGGAGAGGGCGCAGGGAGGACTTCCGCTTTATCGGTCACCTTGTGTTTCTGTGACATTCCCTAAAGATCCAAAGCAGGCATGAGAACGTGTCGATTCCAGGGGGTGGGGTCTGTCGTACTTTTCTCCAGACTTCCCTGTGTTTTCCAAACCGCTCCAGGCCCCTGCCCAGGACGGAAGTGTCCGTCAGGATGTGGCTGTGAGCGTGTTCAGGCTCGGTGGCACGTGGTTTACGATGGGAGGTTTGGATGCTTTGTCGGCAAGTTCTGGCAAACCTAAAAGCAGCTCATAAAGGCTCTGTTATTTAAACTGGTGCCAAGCGTAAGGAAGATACAGGGCTTCCCAACACGCCTCTTAACACCTGACATGTTTAAACTGTGCGGCTTGCATGTTGGCACGTGGCCAGTGGACAACGTTTGCCAGTATAACAGAGAGATCCCTAACTGGAACAGTGAAAAGGATAAGATAGACTTAGATGGGTCAAAAAACTAGTGCAAAGCATCTCAAGAATCTGAGCATTAAGAAGTAAATACTTGAGCCCTGGCTGGCATAGCTCAGTGGATTGAGCGCGGGCTGCGAACCAAAGCATCACAGGTTCGATTCCCAGTCAGGGTACATGCCTGGGTTGCAGGCCACAGCCCCCAGCAACCACACATTGCTGTTTCTCTCTCTCTCTTTCTCCCTCCCTTCCCTCTCTAAAAATAAATAAATAAGATCTTTTTAAAAAAGAAGTAAATACTCCTTCAACTTGTAACGTAAGGAACGTTGTCAGAAAATGTGTGAAGGACCGAGGTTAGATGCATCCGGTTCCCGGAGCCTCACCCTCCCTCAGGCCTCCCTGAAATCTCCGTGGAAGACATGGGAGTGAGACCTTATATAGGGCGTCCGTGAGAGTGTCCCTCCTGGAAGACATTCTATCCACGGTGATCCTTTTGAGATACCACGGTCCCTCTCTCCCCGTCTTCCTCTTTTTAATTCTCTGTTTGGACTTCAGACTTTGGTTGCAAATAATTGAGTCAGTTATATCCCTTAGGTGGCACGTTATCACTTTTCGTCCCTGCAGGGTCCCTCTCTCATTTTTTTTCTTTATGTATTTATATATTAATTCATTTCATTCCTGTCTCCTTATGCGCCACGCTCTCCCAAGAGGCAGAGCGTGGTGCATGATTCTCTTTGATGCACATTCGTCGGCAAACAGCTGCCAGGCTTCCTGTTCATCACCGGCTCTCCTGGGTCCCCGGCCCGCAGGCCCACACCTCAGATCCCAGATCTGGATGCGCCAGCCTCCATATTCACCTGAGCCATCCCTTTAAATAAATAAATATTGAAATATTTAAAATATGAACATTCTTTTCCCTCTGGAGAAGCAGGCAAATCCAATACCCCATGGAAGGAATCGACCGTTAGTGCCTCCCCACTCTCCCAGTGCTGGGCCACAGACTTTCTTTAAAACCTATGTCATCGCCGAAATGTCGCGGCGCACACCCGCCTACGGACCTGTGTGGGAACTCTGGGTTTCGGACCTGCATCTCTTTGCAGACCCCATGCCCCCTGGTTCACGGGGAGGGCAGAGCCCCCTGAGGAAGGGCTCTGTCTGTGCCGCTGCTACACGTGCCCGCTGCAAATCCTCATCCAAGCTTTCCCGCCCCCAAAACCAACCCAACCATTTTAACAAGGTTTAGATTCAATAGGTATACGTTAGAAACATAAAACTTGGTCAGACGTTCCCTTGGACTAATTGTTTTCAAAACTATTTCGTAAACTGTCAGAAATGGAGCGAACAACCGCCAAAAGCTTTTAAAGACTTTTTTTATTTTGTTTAAATTGGCCATGAGGCAAATCGATCATTTACACCAGTTTTAAGTGAATTGGCCCTTAGCTGAAAATGAAAACCTCGTGTTTATTTTCATCTGTGGTGTCCCTGCACCACGTCTGTCTTTGTCTTCCCAGGTCTATTCACTGTGGGGAAACTGAGGCCACTCAGCTCTAAGGAGCTCTTGTGGTATAAAGACTGGAGGCCAGGGAACCGTTGTCCTTACTCCCGTCCAGGCTCAGCACCTCCAATTCTAGGCGCCAGCTGCCCTTGCAGACCAAACGCAGACCCACCGAGTCAGAGGGCCCGAGGCCATTGTGGCCAGACGTGACCTGCAGGACATCTACAGAGGGGAGCATTGAGAGGAAAGAAAGCACTCTGAGAGTCTTATTCATTTTGTTTAATTAGCAGTTGGCAGCAAAGGAGTCTTTTTCAAGACAGGGCAGCATTGAAAGAAAAACCGGAAAGAAGGTGAAATGCATTGACACCAGGAAGCGCAAGCTACAGTGTGGACCACGCGTGCTGAAAGGCCCTCCTCGGTTTAGAAGGATCTCTTTGTGGCTGGACACGTCCCCGCGCCTGGACCTGGAGAGAACATGGGGCTGGCCTGGGAGTGCCGTCAGCGAGCAGGCAGCACTGCGCCCGGCCAGAGGCGGGCCCCGCAGGATGGCCATGAGGTTGCAGACAGCCAGAGGCCTGAGTGGAGGTGCAAAGAGCACTGCGTCAGCTGAGCATTGCCTTACCGGAGCTGGACTCATGGCCAACTTGGCAGGAAGTGGGCAAGCAGGTGCTGGCTTTGCGGAGATACGGAGGAGTCGGTTGGAAGCAAGAGGAGCCCCCATCAAACAATTTGCCTGAACCTGTCACACAGCAGGCTGGTTGGCCGGAAGCGGATTTGTAGCCAGTCTGGCTGCAGAAAGTGGGTCTGCCACAAGCTGGTTGGCCGGAAGACACGGCGCCACAGGAGGCTGGTTTGCACGAGCTCTTTGCAGAACAGGGGGCCTGGCAGTTAGCCCCCGGCAGGCAGACGAAGGATATGGAGGAAGCTGGCTGGCAGCACAGGGGCTGGCAAGGGGAGGTCACACAGCAAGAAGGAGTGCAAGAACCGAACACATAAGTCGATGGCTGGCAGGGAACAGGCATGCAGGGAACTGATTGGCTAGTCTTGAAAATGTAGCAGATGGGCTGGTAATAAATGGATTTGCAGGGCTGACCTTCGCCACTAGTGGTGTGACATGAACCTGCTTGGCAGCCAGCTGGCTGGCATGGACTAGCGGTGCAGACGGTTGGTGGGCAAGATGTTCCAGGACAGGAAGTACTCTCAGAAGAGGGCGGCTGGCAGGCCCTCGGGTCACAGCAGACTGAGTGGCCGCAACCTGCCTGCTGCGATGCGGACACGAAAACGGGCTGCTGGCAGGAGCCTGGCCGACCGGAGCTGGCTTCACAGCACCTCTCCGGACCGCCGGTGGATTCTGCGCAGGCGGGCTGGCACGAGCTAACCAGACGAGGAGGCTGCCCAGTGCCGGGTTCATCGCAGGCTGTGCAGGAGCAAATGGGTTGGCAAACAAAACCCACACAAGACGTTTCTGGAAGGCAGGTCAGCTGGCAAGGAGCAGGGTCACAGCCACCTGGGGCACTGCCGGACGGCTGACGATCTTCTTGGCGTGTGACCAGCTGCCATGTTCTGCTCCGGCAGGAACTAGGCAAACAGATTCCGTTTCGGAAGTTGGGGCACATGGAGATGGCGGGCGCAGCTGGAACGGCCGTGGCGGTTCCAGGACCGCAGCTCCCCGCCGCGGTGCTGCAAACTCAGTGCACCTGAGTTTGAGAGACGCCTGACACGCAGAGGCTTTTATAGTCCTGCGCCAGGGGTGTGTGGCGCCCCACGGAGCATTTTTCCTTGTTATTGTTTCTGCTGGTCTGCGTACAAACATCTGATTAGCAGGCTTCGGGAGCCTGGGGAGATGGTGTCCCTGGTTTTTAAACGTGTCTGTTGAGTGGGGAGTTTTCTCGGCTAAGTTTGGATTCCTTGCTGCTGCCTCTGTCCTGAGATGAGCAGTCGCTTTTACAGGTTGTCCTCCAGCCTCCCCGAAGAGGGCCTTTCCCGGCACCACCCTCTCATCGGGAGGCCACGCCCAGCCAGGGCAGCCCACGCTTCCGCCAGGAACGCAGCTCTGCTCCCTGCAATCGGATAACGAAGCCATGACCCAGGTAAGGGAGGACGATGTCAGACATGGCAAACAGAAAGGCAGGCAGGGCAGCCCGAGGACATTCTTTCTAGAACCTTCTCGTTTGGCTTTCCTGAAAAACAACTCTGCTAGTACCGGCAACAGTAGTGATGGCTTCCATGTATCACACACTTACTCCATACCGTGTCCTTGGCTGCATTTTTTCATGGAATCTTTGCAATGACCCTAGTTAGGAGGTGTAATTGTCACCACCATGTTGGCAGTAGCAAAACTAACTCAGAACTTAAATAATTTCCCCGAAATGATGCAAAGAACAAAGGGTAGAAGTAAGACCCAAACCAAGGTCGGGCTGATTCCAGAACCCCCTGAAATTAACCACCATTTGGACCTCCTGACTTTGGAGGAGCCAGGGGAGAGTCCCACCTGGTGATGGAGGGCTGGCATCTGTGCATCAGCACACCTGCTCACGGGCAGAGGGCCCGGGCCCCCTGCTGGGGGTCACGTGCCCGCTCAGCAACTATCATCCTCAGCTAGATCACACTGGTATGAGTACTTGCCTCTGCTTATCCAGACACCCAAAGACAATCTTTTGACTTGGAAATTTAAAACCACCAAATGTTTCATCAAGGAAGGTTCAACTCATACTATGAAGTCAACAGCATATGAATTCTATAAATATAAAAATGCAAAAACCAGAAGTGACATGGGGATTATTACAAAGTCGTTTTCGTGTTAAATCAACCTCTTCCAAGGGGGATTTGCAAGGCTCATTTCCGATTCTTCCACTCTTCCTCTGGGCCGGTCCTGGCTCTGCCTCACCAGCTGACTCCAGCCCCCAGCACCAGTCCATGCCCTGGCCTGGTCCGAAGTGGGATGCACAATGGAATGGAAACAGGGTGGCTTTGGGGGTTAGACAGGGCTCATCTCAGCTTTCGCATTCGCTCTAACTTACTCTGTTGGATCTCTTAGCTCATAACCTGGTGCTCAAAGAACCAGGAGGTCTTCAACTGCATTGCTCAGGTTATTTTTGTTCTTACCATCTGCTTCATGATTCTGGAAAATGCTGGAAATCCTGGAAGATACTTTGCAAAGCACTAGATACAAAATGCCACCACCTTCTACCGTCCTCACTCTTATTTTAGGAGAAATTTTCGGGTTGAGTGATGCCTGGGAAACTGTCCCCTTGTGGCTAAAATGCCTCCCTCTACCATAGCTTCTTAGGCACGGCCTTACTCGCTTCCTGTGCCCTCGTCACTATTGATTCCAACATTCACGAACTACGAGGGACCTCACACTGTGCTCTGCTCCTGATGGTCTGCATCCCAAAGCTTGTATATCCCAAGAAGAACTACTTTCGGTCTTAACCAAGTAAGTCAATCAAAATGGAACTTAAATATATTTGAAAAACGACATCAATTTCAGTCTGAAAAAGATGCCAATACCCTAGACCCATACATACCACTTTTATTGTTTCAAATGAATCCATTTTTACATCTATTTTTCTCTCATTCTTTTTTTGCCTCCCTCTCAAGCAGTTGATAAAAGGGTACCAACTTTCAGCCATAAGGTGATAAGTTCTGAAGATCTCATGGATATAACATGGTGGCTATAGTTCAAAATACCATATTGTATAGTTGAAATTCATTGAGAGAACTTACATGTTCTCATCAGAAATGACAAATACATGAAGTGGTGGATGTGTTCATTAATTAGATGGGAGAAATCCTTTCACTATATACGTATATCAAATCATCATACTGTACACGTTCGCTCTCTTACAACTTTATTGTCACTTGTACCTCAATAAAGCTGAAAAAATAGAGACAACTCAATAGAGACAACTTCCATTTTGCTGTGGTTCAAGGCACTAAGGAAGTCTGGAGAGTCACCAAGGGCCTCTGTGATCACATCAAGAAGTGTGACAATATGGAAGAACACAGGCTTTGGGCAGAATGGGTTTTAGTCATTCATATGTTAGTTACCAGCTGTGACTATCCGATTTTTGTGTTTATTATCCCCTAAAAAACATAGATATAAAATATGTTTTATAATAGCATATATAATATGATGTATATGTCATATATGGTATATATAACATATTTGTAAATATATGTGAGTGCATGTGTACTCATACATGTAAATGCATGTGTATATATGTTGTTTCTGAACTTCAGATATATACATGTTCTCTGAGGCTTGTTTGTATCAACCCACATCACACCAGTGAGGTTCACTTATGTGGCATGCAGCCATTGCACAGTCATTTTTCCCTGCAGCATAATACTCTATTGTGTGACTATACCACATTTTTCTTGTCTCTGTTGATGGACACTTGATTTGTTCATTCTTTATATTCTTCCCCTATAAAACAGGGGAGAAGAAATCTCATAGAATGACTGTGGTTTACCTGAAACACTGAGTCCATTCTTGGCACAGAGATTTAAAATCTGGCCAACTCCTTTCCTGGCTCTGGAAGGAGACAGAGATAAATCCCAATAGCCTGATGAGTCAGCAACTTCAATACGAGCAGCAAGATAAGCTTCTCCCCCTGCCATTGTCTAACCCAGTGGTTCTCAAATAGGGGTGAGTTTTGCATACACACTCCCCTCCAGGGAATGTTTGCCAATGTCTGAAGGGAGACATTTTTGGTCATTGCAATCCAAGGGTGCTACTGGCATCTAGTTAACAGGGGTCAGGGATGCTGCTTAGCATCAAACAATGCATAGGACAGCCCCACAACAAAGAATGATCCAGCCCAAAATATCAGTAGTGCCGGAGTTGAGAGCCTTGGTCTACCCTCTCCTGTGCTTAGGGTAGCCCAAGCTGCACCTCGAGGACAAGGGATAGTCCTCCATTCATTCTGTGTACTAAGTGTAAGGGATCACTGTTTTGAAGAAGCTGTTTTTAGAGATGGTACAGGCTATGTGTGGAGTTTATACAAAGAATGTGTTTCATAGGGACTATGAAAACATAAGCAAAGCTTTGGCACAAGAAATCCAGGTTACCTTTCTTATTGTAAGTGTGGCCTTCCACGCTTGTTTTCATCACACTGGGGATCCCAAAGTCACTGGCTTCCTCCCCAGTCTCTCTGCCTCCAAGAACATGATCCTCCATGCAGTTCTCAACACCAAGGCCCAAGGGACATTCCAAAACACAGTGCCCCTCACATCACTGCCCTGTACACAGCTCCCTGATGCCTTCATATCAGCCCTGCACCAAGTCCAAATGCCTCTGTCCAGCATAAAAGGCCTGACGAGGGCAGCTCCCTGCTGCCCTCTGCTCCTCTGACCTCAGAGCTCACCACTCCCCCAAGCACACCTTTGCCCAGGCCTCGCTTAGTGAACAGTGCGCTCACAAGCCCATTCATCTGTATATGGTTCCTCTGCCTAGAAAACACTTCCTTCCTGGGTTCTAACTGGTTAACTTCTAATTGAGCTGAAAGACAAGACTTCAGGCCCCAAGAATCCTTCCCTGGTTGCCCCTCATTCCCTGCTGAGTTCACAATGCCTGCCCTTGCCTCTGTCCTGGTATGTAGCACAATGGAGTATAGTTAATTGTCTCTCTATCCACCTGTCTCCCCACTGGAGTGCGCTCCTCTGAGAGCTGGAACTGAGACTTTTGTCTTCTCACTGCTAGAGCCTCACATAGTCCCTGGCACCTAAGAGCTACCTAATAAAACTTGTTGGATGGACAAATGGATGAGTGAAGCTGCTCTCAAAGCTGAAGGAAGTCAGCTGATGAGAATGTGGCATTAACAAGAGCGCAATGAAAACGGCATGTCACTTCAGCTTAGCCAATTTTATTGGACAGTTAAATATCCTTATCCCATTGAAGAGGTCCCCAAGGAACATGAGCACACCCAGCAAGGGAGTGCACACGTGAGGACTGAAAGAAATTTATGCCAGGAAAGAGACTTGAGATGAGATGGCAAAGCTTGGTGGCCACAGCTGACAGGAGCCCAGCATGTCCCCCTCTCAGTGCCCAGGAGGCCTTCATTTGGACCATTTGACACTGGCATTCCTGATCAGCTCTCTGAAGCAGCAGCAGATGGGAGTGAGGGTGCAGGAAGAAAAAGATTCTAGCTAAGTCATGATGAGCTTCAGATGGGGCAGTCGAGTTTTCTCTCTAGTCGGAGGTTCACTTTTCAGGAATGTGTGGGCTGAGGTCAGTTCAGCAATTGGCAGGCTTGGTGGCAGCAGGCTGGATGGCTACGGCTTCACGAGTGGTTGGGCTGGTGGACTTGGCCTCAGCAGGCTGGCCAGGATCAGCCTTGGAGACTTCCACCTTGCAGGAAGTGGAGTCGGCACTATCCGCTTGGCTAGAAGTGGACTTTTTGCAATCCCGTTTGCAGGAGTCGGTACAAGGCAGCCAGGAGCCCAGTGGGCGGTAGGAGATGGAAGTGATGCAGGCCGGGCGGCGCAGGATGGAGAAAAAGGGGCGGTAGCAGGCAGGGCGGTAGGAGATGGACGTCACATACGGCTGCCTGCAGGTGAGGGGTCCAGAGCAGATTGGGCGGCAAATTGGGCGGCAGGAAACCGAAGTCGTGCAAGGCTGTTTGCAGGAGCTGGGTATGTAGAAAGTCCGAGAGCAGGTTGGTTGGCAGGTGGCAGAAGCAGAAGACCCCAGGTGGCAGCAGGAAGGCTGGCAGGAGGCAGGTGAGCAGGAAACAGGCTGACAGCAGACAGACTGACAGCGCTTGACTACGTAGAAGGTAGGTTGGCAGGGAGGGGGCACACAGACCATGGGTGAGCAGGGGCTGGGCTTGGAGCAGATGGGTTGGCAGATGCTGGAGACACAACAAGAGGGCTGTTGGCAAGTGCTAGGGACACAAGGTGGCTCGCAAGGGTTTGGAACGCAGCAGACAGAGCGAAGGCAGACAGGCCCACAGAGGAGAGCCGCACAGGAGTCTGGCTGGCAGATGCTGGGCCCCGAGCAAGATGGCTCACAAGGACTAGGGTCACAGCAAACAGCCTGGCAGCCATTGCCCACAGAGCAGATGGATGGACAGCAGCTGGGGGTGGGGCACACCGGCTGACAGCAAGCGGGCTCGCAGACTACCGGTTGGCAGGAACTAGGCACAGTGCAGACAGCTGGGCAGCAGCTGGGCTGGCAGGGGGTGGGGACACAGAGGACCGGTTGGCAGGAAGCAGCCCCACAGCACACAGGTTGGGCGCAGCTGCTCACAGAACAGGAAGGTTCACAAATGGTGGCCTCGTAGCACACAGGTTGGCAGCAGCTGCTCACGGAGCAAGAGGGCTCACAAGTGGTGGCCTCACAGCACACGGGTTGGCAGCAGCTGCTCGCAGAGCAAGAGGGCTCACAAGTGGCGGCCTCACAGCACACGGGTTGGCAGCAGCTGCTCGCAGAGCAAGAGGGCTCACAGGTGGTGGCCTCACAGCACACGGGTTGGCAGCAGCTGCTCAAGGAGCAAGAAGGCTCACAAGTGGCGGCCTCACAGCACACGGGTTGGGCACAGCTGCTCACAGAACAGGAGGGCTCACAAATGGTGGCTTCACAGCACACAGGTTGGACGCAGCTGCTCACGGGACAGGAAGGCTGACAGCATGGTGGGCCACAGCTGGATGATCCGCAGCCATCTTGACAAGTCACCAGTTGCCACGTTTGGCTCTGGCAGGAACTGGGCAAGAAGACGGGCGCTCTGCACCTCACCTCAGTGGAACAGAGAGAGATGGCTGGCACGGAGGGACATTTCCTAGAACAGCAGTTTCCCGACATGATGGAGGTGGCTCTGCTCCCTTGGGAGTGTCGTGAGGTTGCTTCCTGACTGGGACAGCTCCCTGGGGCCCTCGTTTTTATACCCCCTCACTGGCCCATGCTGTTTGGAGCTCCAGCATCATTTTCCTCCTTGCTGTTTGGGCCACTTTTCAGAGGAACATCTTATTATGTCAAGGTTTGTTGACCTGAAGTTGTTTATCCACTCATAAAGAAGCTGTTTGTTTACTGATTTGCTAAATCTGGAATCCTTGGAGCTACAGATCATCTTGGAATAAGCATCATCGCCTCCAAGCTGAGTGATCTGTGTTTCTGAGCATCATGGATGGGGGAAGAAGAGAGGAACTTATAATTTATCCATCTTCTAGACCTCTGTACCAAGCCCTGGGCAAGACACAAGGGATGCCCAGGGGTCAGACCTACTCACTCATTCTCATAGATATTGCTCTCTGCTGGGCAGGCAGGCATGCAAGCAAAGTCAGTGCAATGTAATGATTTACTTAACAATAGACACACAGGGATCCGTGGAGAGGATCTGCAACAGGCTCTGTGGGATAGGGGATCTCTGGGCTGGATTTTAAATGCCTGTGCCTTATAGCAATGATCTTATCTAAAACCATCAGTAACCCCATGAGATAGGGAACCTTCCTCCTCCATTACAGATGAAGGAAAGGAAGAGGGGTTGGAATCAACACGTTCGTCACTTGCTAAAAGGTCCCATGCAGCTTGCCCACAAATCTGGAGCCTCTCTTCTTCCCCTTCACCATCCTGACTGGACAGACCTTTCTCGGTAGGCTCTGTCAAGCCACAGGTCACAGGCTTAGCCCACATTGCTATCCTTCATCCTGTTCTGTGAGCAGCCCTGCCCCAGACCACCGGCTCTACCTGTCCCCCGAAGGCACCTGACCTGGTCACTCTACTTCTGTTTCCTCCTTCTCTCCCTCTCATCTGCACCTCAAGCATCCAGTAGACCTCCAGAGTTCTTCTTGCATTTGGTGATTTTTAAAATTAAATTTATTAGAATAATATTGGTTAATAACATGCATTTCAGGTGTACGACTTTCTACTATGACATCTCTATTGTCCTTTGGTGATGTCAACAGCCCCTAAAATAAAGATTCATCCAAGACCCAAAGGGTAAAAAGCAAGGTTTTTCACAAACACATTGTGAACAAAAGCTAAGAGCGCACATGCTTTCTCAGAGGGCTATGTCAGTGCCGCTGCTGGGACAGACGTGAGGAGAGAAACAAACCCTTGATCTCTGAGTGCCGAGGCCTGATACCCTTGCCACTAAGGCCCTGCCTTGCTTCGCCATGTGCTTTCAGTATCGATGAAAAAGGCAGCTCTGGAAAAGCTGAACCATTTTTCCAATCATTCATCATTCTCCTCTTTATTCATTAATTTATGCCATCATGTGCTCAATTTCCATTTTATTCATCTATTGCAGCCAACTGTCATGGGTTCTGTGTGATGATACAGAACAAATGAGTGGCAATTCCAGCCACAAGGAGCTCCAGCATAGAGGAAAGAGATACAACCATAAGCAATTATGGCACCGTACACGCAAAGGCGCTATGATACCTAGATGCGCAGGGTGCTGTGGGGCGTCCAGGAGGAACACCGGCATGGTTTGGGGGGAGGCAGGGAAGGCTTCTGGGAGCACGAAACACTGGAGAGCAGCAAAGGCTTCCACAGCCAGGTGAAAAGTGCAAGGGAACAGGAAAGGACAGTGATGGGTCCAGAGGGACTACTGGGCACTCAGTCACGAAAAGGCCATGGCCATGGACCATGGCCATAGGTTGGGTTTCACACTGACACCTGGGAGCGTTAAGCAGGGCAAAGCTTGACCAGGTTTGCCCTTCAGAAAGGTCTCCCTGGCTGTGGAGATGGGACTGAAGAAGGAGGGCAAGCCTGGAAGAGGGCAGACCACTAGAGGTCTGGGGCAACTACCCTAAAGCTTCATGGTGACAACATAAACTGGGCAGTGGCTTGGGACTGGAGCAATATAAGGCATTTTAAAAAGGCAGAATCTAATCTACAGGACTTAGCATTGAGAGTGAAAGATTAGGAAGAGAGAGAGCCATCCTTTGAGATGTGGCTCTCAGGCAATCGAGGAAGAGAACTTTTAGAAAGCCTTGCAGAGGGCAAAGCAAGGAGACGAATGCAAGACCCTAATCTCTGGCTTTGCAGCTCCCCTCCTCTCCAACCACCTTCTCTCCCTCCGCTGGACCAGCAGTGAAATTCCAGATGGAGATGCCCCTCCTCCCAAAAGGTCATCCATAGCTGCTCTCAGCTGGATAAATTGTTTGACATCACCCATTATGCTAGAATGGACTCCTCAAAGAACTCTTTCCTGCTAAGCAGAATAAGCTGCTGTTTTAACTACCTAGCCCAGTGATTTTCAAACGGTGTGCCTCAAGAATTTGTAAAACATGCAATACCTGACTGTCTAGTCAGGGGCACTGACCTCTTTTCCCTTAGATTATCAGATTTTTTAAAAATGACAACAACCAACACAATAGCCGTCTGATGTGAATGAATCAAAATTATACCTGTTTTTTTTTTGTCAGATCAGCAAAAAATATATTTCCTGGTATGCCCCAGAATTTTAGTAATTAGTTTATGTGTGCCGGGAGATGAAAAATGTTGACAATTCCTGATCTGGCCCATTCCTACTTTATTCTTTTCACCAGCTCTTGTGTCCTTTGATGTGATAAGCACCAGGAGGATAAGAATTGTGTTTATTCCCTGATGTATACCCAGCACCCAGCACAGTGTTTGATACATAGGCAGTTCACTATGAAGATTTGTTGAATCAATGAATAAGGACCTCTGTAGAGAGCTAAAAAGGGCAATTCTCTGCCAGTAATTTAAAAAAAATAACCATAGTCATGAGCAGTAAAACAATCAGCTGCTCTTAATCACAACTGCACCATGTAGACCAAGCGGCCTCTTGGTAACGGCATCCCCTTGGCATGCTGCTGCTCTGCTTGTGGCTTTGTCCTGGGGGTTACAGAGCCAGCACTGAAGAGGCCAGCTCCAGGCAGAACAAAAGTGACCTAAATAGCAGAGTCTAAAACTGAACCAGGGCATAGACAAATCTCATATTCTCTCCTGGAGCAAGATACTGCTAATGCTGCTGGAATTGTTAATGCAGCAAAGAAAATGAAAACACAAGGAGCTATCACTAGACACTTGCTAGAATGGCTGAAAATACAAAGACTGACAATATCAAGTGCTAGCAAGGACATGGAGCAACTGGAACGCCCAGGCACACAAAACGGTGCACCCACTTTGCAAAAACAGCTGGGTAGTTTCTCACAATGTGAACCATTCACTTACTATACTCCCCACCCAGCAATTCAACACCTAGGTATTTATCCAAAATAAATGAAAACATATGTCCACACAAAAATGAGTAGATGAATATTCATAACAGCTTTATACATAATAGCAAAGAGCTGTACACAACCCAAATGTTCATCAGTAGATGAATAGTCTTACTGTAGTTTATTCACTTCATAAAAAGGAATGAACTATCGATAGCTACAAAAACATCAATGAAAATTAAAAATGTTGTTCTAAGTAAAAAAGTTCATGGCATATGGTTTCATTTATATGAAATTCTAGAAATGGCAACATTTATGACATAAAGCAGATCAACGTTTGTCTGAGACTGAGGTTGGGTGGGGAGGATGGCCTGCACAAAGGCACTGGGGAGTCTGAGGGGCGATGGAAAGTTCTAGATTTTGAGGGCCATAATGGTTATTTAAATATATACAGTTGTCAAATCTCATCAAACTGTGCACTAAAATGGGAGTAATTTATTACGTGTCAATTATATCTCAAAGTTAGTTCATAAAAAATTAAACAGAAAATAGCCCTGGCTGGCATAGCTCCAGTGGATTGAGTGCTGGCCTGTGAACCAAAGCATCGCAGGTTCAATTCCCAGTCAGAGCATATGCCTGGGCTGTGGGCAGGTCCCCAGTGGGGGCCACATGAGAGGCAACCACACATTGATGTTTCTTTCTCTTTCTCCCTCCCTTACCGTCTCTAAAAATAAATAAATAAAATATTTTTAAAAAGAAAGAATTTTTTAAAAATTAAACAGAAAATAATTTTAAGGCAAAAAAGTAAAAGCGGCATAACCCCAGTTTTATTTGAAAATCCGCTTACACAGGAACCTGGAAAGATACATGTTAGCAATAAACCCTGAGGGGAAGCATTCAGGTGGCTATCATTTCTTCTTTATATCGTTCTGTATTTTTTCATGTTTTTAAGAATCATTGCTGTGCTTATAATCAGAAAATTATTTTTGTTTGTTGAGTAAAACATTGCTCTGTAGGAATAGAAATTAATATTGTTCTCCCAGGGCAAAAGCAGAATTAGTTTTATTCCATATATAGCCCAAGGTCACATTCAGCAAGAGTTTGAATCAGCCGTCTTTTGAATTTCAACCTCCCAGCTGAACCCATGCCCACCCGGGTCAGGCCCCACCTCGCAGATGGAGGCTCCCTCCTCCCACCCGGGGCCTCCTGCAGAAGAAATTCAGCTGGTTCCAGGACACCAGGCCCTAACCCAGAGCAGGCAGCCTTTGCCGAAGCAGGAGCCTGGAGGAGGGACCCGGCCTGCCCAGAACGTCCTTAGGCCCCATGTGTTGTCAAAATCGTGCCACAGGGACCCTTCCACTCAGAACCAAGCTTGTCTTACCAAGCCTTCTCCTCTGACTTCGCCAGAAAGTTCTGACCCAACCTGAAGCCTCTGGCAGAACCAGCCTAGAACTATTATGACGCAGAAGGAAGCCGTGCACCTCCCTTGAGGTTAAACTGGGCCAGCCATCAGACCTTACCCGGGAGCTTTTAAAAATGCAGAGCCCAGGGCCCCTACCCTGGGGCTGGTGGACCAAATCTCTAGCAGCGAAGCCCAAGAATCTGCATTTTTAAAGCCTCCCCATGCAAATCTTGTGGAGCACATGGAAGCGTCCGTCTACAAGGATGGTTCTCCAACCTCAGTGCATTGGAATTACCCGGGGTTCTTGCTAGACACACAGATTTCCAGCTCATGCAGGCACTGATTCTGCCTGGTCCGGGGAGGGCTCCGGAATCTCTATTTTAACCCCCAGGCGGTTCTGATGCGGCTGGCCCACAAACCAGCTTTCCAAAGCCCTATTGTGGATGCCAGAGTAAGCTTGCCTGGTCCAGGGTCCTAGAGGGGGTGAAGGAAGAGGCGGCAGAACTAACTTGGTTATGCCAGCATGCTCGAATTTATTAAGAAGTTAACAAAGAGGAATTTTTTGTATCTCAAAAGCCTCCAAAAGCTGAAGGAGAGGGGTCAGTCCCAAAGACACCTTGAATAAGAGGATGCCTTGTGGTGCCAAGACATTCAGCTTCATTAAAACCAAGCCGTGGGGGTTCACCCTTCCAGCTTCGAGGATCACTTTGAGTGGCACCTGGCTTTAATTCCTCACCAGCGTATGGCTTTTGTTCTCAGGGCCTTGAAACGCTAGGGCGGGCATAGGAGAACAAGCCTCCTCTACAAATAAAACGGGAGACAGGACACAGCCTTGAAAGGTCCTGGAGACCCCGGGTCTCCACCTGGAGTAGATGGCGGCTTTCCCCGAGACCCCCTCGCGAGGCGGGAGGGAGAGGTCCTCATTTCGTGTCGCAGACAGGGGTGGGCTGGCAGCAAACAGGGCCGCAGCACCCAGTGGAGCCGCAGCAACCGGATCCGCAGCAGCTCCCGCAGCAACCGCCCCCGCAGCCACCTCCCCCGCAGCCAGATCCGCCGCAGCAGGAAGACCCGCAACAGCTGCCTCCGCCTCCGCAGCCCGAGCCTCCGCAGCCCGAGCCTCCGCAGCCTGAACCTCCGCAACCACAGCAAGATCCGCAGCAGGACCCGCAGCAGCCGCAGCAGGAGGGCTGACAGCAGCACATTTCACAGCAATTTTCCTCTTGAGGGCAGCAGCCGAAGCAGTCCCCGGGGCAGCACCCCATGATCCCGGCTGGTCAGGGCGCAGGTCAGGAGCGCAGCCGGAGTTCCCCAAGTCTGGCCGGCACTCGCTGGACGGCAGCTTTTATATCCCCTCCCTAAGGGTGTTGGCCCAAGGGTCAGATGTGTGTGTTTTTTGTTGTTATTATTTATGCCAGTTTCCACGACAGCGTCTCATTAGCTGCCTGTTTATTTTCCAGCTCGGAGTACCTCAACTCATAAAAAAAGCCCCACTCGTCCCAACTGCTATTTGTCCAGAGGGTAAAAATACATCTTTGGGAAGACCTGTCATCATGGTCACACAGGGGCCGGCCATCATTAGCCCGGGCCGGAGAGAGGAGGGAGGAGGCTGAGGCAAACCCTGGCTCTGGCCTGGGCGCGCCTCTTCCGAGTCTTCTCTGGTGGCAAGTGGGCAGCCAGCTCTTTTTGTCCCGGATGCTCATCCTGGAAGACCGGACTGGTGAAAGCTAGATACCCTGGGCCTTTCCGCCACAGGCAGAGGCTGCTGAGGAGGAGGTCTGGCCGGGTGGCTCCTCCCAGCTGGGAATGGCATCTTCATCCTAGCGCCAGGTGTGTGTGTGTGTGTGTGTGTGCGTGTGTGTGTGTGTGTGTGTGCGCGTGTGTGGTATGCGGAGGGTGCCGCACGTTTGCTTGGGCTTGGTCAGTAACCATCAATCATGAGTAATAACTGCCCTGTGCAATGCAGAGACTCACCATAAACCTGCAAGAGGCAGAGGAAACACGTTTCTCTGGGCTGTGCGGTGAGCCGAACACACACCTGTCTCTCTAAATGGGCTGGAAGAGCCAGTGGTCGGAACCTGAGACACCCTGGCCCCAGGCCTTTCCTGGATAGGAGGGGAAGGAGGAGACAGAGGAGGAGATGCAGGAGGAGGGAGGGAGGGAGGGAAGAAAGGAAGGAAGGGAAGGAAAGGAAGAGGAAGGATGGTCACTGAACCTCCAAAACCACGTTAAAGTCGAAATGTGCACTTTTTAAAAGACCATGGGGCAGAATGAGAGATAGGCGTATAAAATAGCCAGAATATCATCTGGTGAATAAGATGCCACTGGAAAACTAGCATCCACAGAGGATTCGGGTTCATGTGTGAACTCTGAGATGGGCCAAGTTTGCTGTCCCCACCTGGGCTTCAGCACCTCCTCATCCCTTGGCATGGGAATAGCAACTCTGGAGCCTGTGGGCTCCGCCCTCTGGAAGTGGGAGGTGGAGGGTGGAGGTCGGTTGTCATGGAGATCTAGATCAAGGGACACATTCCCTCCTTTTCAGTTTCCTTCCCTTTTTTCAGATGAGCCTGGAGATAAGGCATCCTCTAGAAAGGGCTGGAAGGACTGAAAACCAGGAGGTGAGGGGAATGGAGACCGCGAGAAGGAATAGGTATTGGATCTGTTACGACACAGTACCTACATCAAGGGATGTGGAGTTTTAGAACTGGGAGGAACCCCAAAGACCATGTGGTTCAGGGTTCCTAAACCAGATTTTTTCCATCAGAATGGCCTGGGGTGGGGGCTTCTGAAAAACACGGGTCCCGGCCTGCACCCAGTTCTGTTCCATCAGACTGTGTGCTCGCAGGAGCTTGAGCAGCTACTTTAAAGCTTCCCAGGTGGCTGGGTCATCAGGTGGGTTAGGAAACACTGGCAGAACTTAGTGCCGCCTGACCATCTCCTGCAAGGGTTTTGTTTGTTTGTTTGTTTGTTTGTTTGTTTTTAATTAATGTACAAACGATGGCAGCAGGGCCCGACCTGACCCTGCCCTGTTTCCTGATAGGCTGGGCCACGGATGCTCTGTTTCCCGGTGCAGGGTCCTCCCGCTGCTCCACACCCGCAGACGGACACCTTGGGGTGAGTGTAACGCAGCGACCTTCACAGCAGGCACGTTCTTTTCATTCTTTTTAAATGATAGACGGTGCATTCATGGGGTCGCTGTGCACAAGGGATGCGACGAACAGCCTCCCGTCTCTTCCTGTGTCCAGCCAGGCCTGCCTCTCCCCCGCCCGCCCCCGCCCCCAGTATCACTCAACCCCCGGACCCGAATTTACTCGTCTCTAACACGGAGGTTGTGGTAATGGCCCCAGTCTCATGGGGCTGCCGTGAAGGTTAGATGGATTCGTGTGCATGCAGATGCAGCACTTAGAACAGTGATGGGCCACATATTGCTTGATAAAATTAGCTATTATTTCTATCCAGAAAGATACATTTATATAGTTCATTACACAAATGGTAGCAAAATATGCATGCTGTTCTTAATTCTTTTTTTCTTTTTTTATTTTAATCATTGTTCAAGTACAGTTTTCTCCCTTTCTTTTTTCTTCTTAACAAAGTATCTTAGAACCCCTTCCATCAGCACATAAAGCTGTTTATGGGGTTTAATCGTACCAATCATTTATTTAACCAGTTCTCTATTGAAAGACATTTGTATCTAATTTCCACTATTTTGCTATTATGAACTTTAGTGTTTAGTATTTGCGATTGTATAACTTAGCATATCTTTATGGGTCTTTCCCGTAAACTCTTGGAAGAGGAATTGCTGAGCGCATGGGTTTTCGTGTTTGTAATTGTGGTGGATGTTGCCAAGGCACCCTGCAGAAGGGCGCCAGGGACACTCCCGCCACCAATGTGGGACGGAGCACCCAGGGACAGATGAGCACTCGCCTCTTCACGCCTTACCAACCCAGCGCGTTATCAAAGTCGGCCACCTTGACGCTCTGATAGGAAAAAGATAAGCTCTTGAAATAGTTCTAATTTGCAGTGCCATTATTGTGAATAAAATTAGGGGATAGATCACATGCTTACATGCTGTTGACGCTCCCTCTTCTGTCAATCATCTTTTCCACACTCCATTTTTCTAATAGGTGGTTGGTCTTTTTCTTTGATCGACAGGAGTCCTTTGTGAAATAGAAAACCAAAGCTTCATCTGTACTATGAGTTAAAAATGTTTTCCCCAGGCTGTCATTAGCCTTTAATGCTGTATTTTAATAATAATAATAATGTTTACATTATAAATTTGACACCTACTTACAGTGGAATTATTGAAAAATACAAAAAAATTGTATACAAAAATACAAAAAATACAAAGGTAAGAAAAATCATCTATAAACCCACAACAATATTTTACTCCTAATTATCTTATTTTCCTTTGCTTTTTCTAAATATTTACATTGATATTGATATCAATATAAATGTATACACATACAAGTCCATATATGTATCAGGTACAAATTTCTAAATCCATGTTCCAAAGTATGTTAAAAATATATAACTGTTTTTCTCTCAGTCTGCTTGAACGTATTTCAAATCTTCATTCCAGCTTATGGGGTGGGAAAAGTCAGTTCTGTGTAAGGTCAGAAATCGTTCAGGATTTCTCCCCCTCATCCTTCAAGTGGAGACGGAATCTGAGTCTGGGGGCCGCGGACAGTCCCATAGCATAAAAGAGAGTGACCACCAGTTCATGGTGGGCGTCCCCCAAGAGGCGCATGGTCCTCTCTTACTCCCGACCGCATCCTCCCTCTCATGGCACCAGCTGAGATACCTGAGTTCTCCCTGCTCTCCACAGATTCCGCATCCTTCGTCACCCCTCCTGGGAGGCCCAAGGTCTTCTCTGTCACTTCCCCGCCCAACACAAAAGTCTGTTTCAAATTGCATAAGCTAAGCATTGACTCAAGTCACTCCCTCTGCGTTTCCACAGTGATAACCCTAGGCTGGGGGCAGTGGGTACTGAAAGACCCCAGTGACGCCCACGTCGCGAGGACAGAGCAGCGGTGAAGGAGACCACAGGAGAAAAGTAAGACCTGTGCTACTGTAAGGCTTCCTCCTGGCATGGAGTTTTGCAAAATCCAAATCCTACTGTGTACACTGATTCATGCACTGAGCATTGTACTTAACCTGCGAAAATGCTCATAAATATGTTGATTATTGAATATTATAAATATGTGAGCATTTATATTTTCATGTTGACCTAGACCTTCCTATTGTCGGATATCTGAGTTGTTCCCAGTTTTCCAATATTGAAAGCAAAACACTGAGATGAACTTCCATCAATGTGAACTTTTATGCATCTTTCTTATCTCCCTGAAATATGTAATTATGCAGTCTCCCTAGAAACGTAATTACTGAATCTTCAGCATGTTACTAATTTTAAGGCTATGAATACATGTTTTAAAATTATCCTCCAGGAAAAATGTCCCCATTTGCACCCATTTGACAGTGCTCTCCCAATACCAGTTTTTTAAATTGAATTTATTGGGGTGACATACATTAATAAAATTATATAGGTTCTACGTGTACATTTCTGTGATACATGATCTGTACTTTTTCTGTTAAGCTATTCATCTTTTCTAATTTATTTATAAGAACTATTTTACGCTACATATATTAACTCTCCTTTCTGTCACTCACACACACTGTATGCCCACCACCCGAAGTCCAGCCTTCTCCCATCACCCCAGGTTCGGCCCCCTTCCCTCTGGCGACCACCACACTGTTTCTGTCTATGAGTTTTCACTTTATATGCCACATAGCCATGAAATCGTGTGCTTCTTGACCTTTTCTGATGTAATCCTTTGTCAACAGATTTGTCGTGATTCACAGTCCAATCATGAAATCTCATTATAGTATTTATTTGTACTTATTTCATTAATAGTGCATTTATTTCATAGGCCACTTTTATTTCTTGTTTGGGGAATTAATTTTTCTGTGAAGCTTTTCATCTTGTCCAATTTATTTATAAGAACTTATTGTATGCTACACATAGTAACTTTCCTTTCTGTCACTTTGTCCCAAAGTATCATTTCTTTTCCATTGTGTCTGTGGTGTTTTTATGTGTATAATTTTCTTTTCATGTAGGAAGATCTTTCTACAGTTTTTCTTTCTGCTGCTTTCATGCTTTGAAACTTCTTCGCCATCCCCAGACGAGACAATTATTAACTTTCCGTTTTTATAGTTGCATTTTTTACACGTAATGCTGTTATCCATTAGGAATTTATTTTGAGGTGTGGCTGATACTGCTTTACAGAAAATGCGCTGGCCTTCCTAACCGGGGGCCCTAAGTGCACATTAAATGAATTCTTGCTGTCCAATAAAGAACAAGGGGCGGAGGTGCGGCCAGAGTCCTTAAAAACCTGGGCCTGGCATCTGTTCTGGCGGCCTCTAGTGTTCACCAGGTGACATTACATGCGCAGCTTCCGGTGTTTCTATTAGAGACCATCGCAAAATAAGCCCCCATTCTAGCTTCGCCAGATGCAACGCCAGAGAAACTTGGTTTGATGTGAGAAGCTTATTGTATTATGTGGCACTGACTTAAATCATGTGTCCACTAAACCATCTCTTGGCAAAGCGGGTGCATTCCCAGCCCTCTGGTTGTGCCTGGTACCGCCCTAGCACTTTCTCTGTGTTCTCTTGGCTAACACTCAGCATAACTGTATGCAGTAAGTATCATTATCCTTATCTTCTACATGAGGAACTGAGGCTCCCGGAGGTCGGCCGCTTTAACTGGAAGATGCGGGGCTTCCTTTGAACCCAGATCCATCTGCCCCTGAAGCCCATTCTCCTCCCTCTGCGGCAGGCTTCCTTGGGAGAACCAGAGAAAATCATCTTTGTCTTAAGTCTTCGAGAAAGAATATATTCAAGTGACTGTGGGTTTTACATCCACAGAGATCACAGGTATCTTACAGGTTTACACCCATGATTCCCGTATGGCGGGCACTCCCAACTGTTTACTAAAGGAATGAATAAATAAAATCACAAACGAATGTGAGATGATGCCTCACAGTGCAGGGCAGGGCAGTCCGAGTGCCCACGAGGAGAGAGTGGGGTCCCTGCCGCCGGGCCTCCCTGGCCGCTGTCGTACAGAACCCGCCGCAACCACAGAACCGCACTATGTCTACTCCGCCCAGCGTGGCACCCGCTGGGCCGCTGAGCGCTGAGAGTGTGGCTGCTGTGATGGAGGGACTGAAGTTTTCGTTGTACGTCATGTTCGTGTATTTGTATGGAAAGAGCCCCGTGTACTGGCCAGTGAGCAGAGCAGCTCGGGAGATTCTCCTTCAGGGGGTGTGGCCGATGAGGCCGTTTGCATGAACCTGCACCAGGAAAACCACCAAATACGGCGTTGCCTCCTTGTTTTTAAACATTTGAGTCTCCTTAAAGCATCGAAGAACTGGGAAGATAGTACAAACTGCCAAAAAATTATCAAAGAACCAAGTACCTGGTAGACGCCCAGAGAGGCCCTGAGTGCTGAAACCTCGGCTCCTTCAAGGGCACTTGATGAATCTGACAAACTTGAGTTACAGTTTCTGTGACCTCTCGGGGGTAGAAACAGAACATAAAGTCCAGGTCCCACCCACTGTAGAGCCTCCCCTAGCAGACCCACCCATCCTTAAAGCTGGGACCCCAAAGGGCCACACCCTTGGTGCAATGGGGAGCCATATACAGTTTCCACCCACCCATTCCCAGCACAGGGCACTGGTCTTGCACATTACCTGCATGACCCCAAAATCTTCAGGCCATGAGCTCAAAGAGGCCTCTGGCCGGTAGTGCCTGAGTGCACGGGCAGGAACAGATGCCCATGGTGGACACACACACCCATCATCCCACCTCAATGAAGCCCCACAGATAATATTCCAAGGAAAACAGAGATGATAAACATGAGTGTCATTCACCAAATATTTCTGCCTTTCAGAAATATGACAGGAATGTGCTTCTCCACATCCTTTGAAGCTAGGCATGACCAAGGGACTTGCTTGGCTTAATAACATGTGACCGAAGCTTTATGAGTCACTGCGGAAGTCGCCCCCTCCCAAGCAGACCTGTGGCGGTGGAGCTAGACTTGGAGGCAGCCTGGGTTCTCGAGTAAGTAGGATGACGGGAGCCTCCTAATGGCCTCTGCAGGACTCGGAGCATGAGCAAGGCAGGAACTCCCGTGGTTAAGATTTGGGAAGTTCGGGCGGGAGTCGATGGTTACCGTGGTAGCTGTAATGTAGTGTGTCCTGACTGACACAAGGAATGACTCAGCCATTCATGACTGATCACACAAGACAACAAGGCACTGTGAGTGAGAGCCAGTCATAAACGGGCCGCAAAGACTTCAGATACTGAGTTATCAAACACAGGTTACAATACGGTGCGTTGCCATCGTTAAAGGAATAAAAGGCAAGCTGGGAACTATCTACAAGGGTGGTCTCTGCGCAAATGCAGGTCTGGCCGCCTGCCGCTTCGAAAGCCAACACTCCAGAGGCGGGCGCTGCTGTAAAGGAAATGGTTTTATTCGGGCGCCAGCAGCCTGGAAGATGGAGGTCTCTGGTCACAAAGCCCATCCCAGCAGCTCAGGCATCCTGACTTCTTGCAGTCAGGGTGGTTCCTCGGTTAAGCAGGAGCCGCAACTGCTGACGTCTACAGAATACTTACAAGGAGCCTTTTAATACGTGAATCTTCTGTGAGCTTGTTGGTACAGCCTCTTCTATAATTACCACCTGATTAGTCCATTATGTTTATTTCAGCCACTGTTACCATGAGAAATACAGCTGACGATAGAAAGTCATCCCTGTTTAGAGCCCCTAGAATGTCATGGATGCTGGAAAATAGAGAGCAAATGCCTGATGTTTTCACTGGGTTCCTGCCCAAGGTAAAGACAATCTAGAGGCCCTGGAGAAAGCCCTTGTTCTTGTTGCTACTGCTGCTTAATGAACACTCCAAATACAGTGTGATAAATCAACCAACATTTTATTATGCTCATAGATCCTGTAGGTCAGGAGCTCTGGAAAGGCATGGTGGGCGGGCTGGTGTCTGCTCTGTGATGTCTGGGGCGTCACCTGGAAAGGCGTGAAGGCTGCTTGGGCTTCCTCATGGCTCAGTATGTGGGTCTCAAGCATCCCAGGAGGACCAGGGAGAAGCCGCTTTTTCTTTTATGAACGATCCTCAGAAGTCACACAGTGTCTCTTCCTCTGCAGTCACTTCCTCTGCATTGGCCCGGACTTGAATGGAGAATGTCCACAGGAAAAGTAGCTCTTGTAAGAAGGGCACGGGGGATAAGAGAGAATGTCACACAGTGTCTCTCTCTCTCTCCCAGGCAGTCCTTTCCCTAATCCAGGGGATGCCAACAGCCTACAGTCATCGTCCTCTGCCTCTTCCCTCTCCTTTCTCCCCAGCAGCAAAACCAAGGTGTGCCTGGTGTCAGCCGTTTCCTGAGGCTTATTAATAACCCTCTACCTGAGCCCTACATTACATTCTCACTCTCTGTTTTGCTTTTCTCTCCTCCCCTCTCTCCCTCCTTCACTCCCTTCCTCCTATAGCAAGAAAGTTACAGGAAGGAGAGGAGCCTTCTGAGCTGACCCCGAAGGCAAATTTCATTCAACACCTCCAGGTTCACTGAAGCCAGGGAAGTGTGAGAACCAGAAAAGATGGCCCATGTTGAATGCCCACTCATCGCCATTCCGGTCTCCTGTTCCCAGGAAAAGCTTCCCGGGCCTGTGTGGTATGTTTGGAACGCACAGGTCATTGCGAACTTGATCACCTGCCATCTTGGCGCTCTCCCTCCATGTATGAGGGTTCTCCAGAAAAACAGAACCAATAAATATATATGTATATAATTTATTATATATAATGAGATTTATTATGGAAATTGGCATATATAAAAAATTATATTTTCATGGAAATTTTGGTTCATATGAATATGGAGGCTAAGAAGCCCCACGACCTGTAAGCCAGGGAACCAGGAAGGCTGGTGGCACGGTTCAGCCTGAGTCTGAAAACCAGAGACCCAGGAGCACGATGTCCAGGGGCAGGAAGATCATTGTTGGCCAAATATATTTTCCCCAGGTCTTTCCGGGTCACAGTGTTTCACGTTGCTGAGAGAGACAGCCACTCTCTCAAGACTCACTTCCTCCTGTGGTTGACCAGTGTCTCTGGTTCCCTCACCTGTGCCCTCGGAAGACCTTGTCAGGAAACGTGCGCAGGTGCTCTCCGGATTTGCCCGTCCTTCCCCACCACCTCCTTCCCAGACGTGAAGCCCACGTCGATGGGTGGGTGACGCCTGGTGGAGACTTCTCCTTTAAGAGAAGCCACAGACCGTATATTGGGACGATGACCCCTTCATCTGATGGAAGAACACTGCCTACCTTTTTTATTTATATAAGACACCCAATTTTGGAATTAATGAACAAAAAGGACAATTATCACTTTTGTGCCAGAAAAAGATTTTATTAAGAGGTTGACAAGGGATCTTTTATTGCATCTCCAAAGACCAAAAGAGTGACAAGCAGTATTTCTTCCAATTCTATTTAGTTTCCTAGGGTGCCCATCAGCAAGGTCGCATTTAATGTAATTATGGTAACATCGCATCTAGATAAGTACCTGCTAAAGCATAGCACATTATGCAAATGTGTCACTGGGACAATGGATACTACTTGATCCCGTTACAGATTTCTCTGTATTTTTCAGAAGATAGAGACAATGAGTAGACTTTGCTGTCTCCTATAGTAAAGAAGCAAGCCAGGAAATTCAGCAGAAGCCTAGAGGTGACCCCTGGGAGCTGGTGCCGATAGAAGTTTCTTCCTTGACCCAAACCGGTCACTGTTGGAGATGTTTGGGTGAAGTTAGGGTGTGACTTCGGGGCCCTTGCACTCCTGCCATCGATGCCTCTAGCACACAAAGGTATTGCAAGGCCCACACCGAGGGAGTGGGGCACAAGGACTGGAGACGCAGGGTCCAATGGGCTTGTCACAGGCATTGGTTGTGGCACACGGGTTGCAGGGGAGCCTGAAGACAAAACCGTTGGGGCAAGTTAGGGTAAAAGGAGCTGAAGAACTGGGAAGATGCTAAACATACTTGGTTTATATCTTCCTTGGCTGCCATACAAAAGCTGGACTTCATAAATTCACTTCCATCGAGAAGACTCCTCACCCCCACACCACCCTCACGTGCCCTCAAGGAAAGCTTTACACTCACTTGCAGTCCTCACTCTCCAGCAGGCCCCGGTACGTGTTGATCTCACACTCCAGCCGGGCCCGCACGTCCAGCAGCACCTGGTACTCCTGGTTCTGCCGCTCCAGGTCACTCCTGATCTCCGCCAGCTGGGACTCCACGTTGGTGATCATGCACTGCACCTGGGACAGCTGGGCGCTGTAGCGGGCCTCCGTCTCTGTCAGCGTGTTCTCCAGCGAGTCCCTCTGTGGGGGGACATAAGGAAGGTCACACAGCTGCTCCTTTAACACGTCCCTCCACAGGGCTCCATGCAAGTAACAGCTTCAAGAGTTCAGGGGACTGTGACCCAAAAGGCCTGCCAGTGACTCTGGTTCCCCGACCTCACACTTGTCACCCGGAGGTGTGGCCAATACCCACCAGGTTGTGCTGGGCCTGGAGCTCGATCTCCAGGGCGTTGACCGTGCGTCTCAGCTCGATGATCTCCGCCTGGCACGTCTGCAGCTGCTCTGAGCTGGACACCACCTGCTTGTTTAGCTCCTGGGTCTGAGACACCAAAGGTAAGACACGGGATCAGACTGTGCCTTGAGGGCCACAAGGGGCCTTGGGTCCTGAGTGGCCCTGGGCTGAGGCACCCACCTGGTTGGTGAACCATTCCTCCACGTCCCTGCGGTTGGTCTCCACCAGGGCCTCGTACTGACACCTGGTCTCATTGAGCACACGGTTCAGGTCCACAGTGGGGGCGGCGTCCACCTCCACGTTGAGGCGGTCTCCAATCTGGCAACGCAGGGTGTTGACTTCCTGATGGAAAGTTTAAAATATTTAACAGTATTTATTAAGTTTTAAAGATTTGAACATTTAAAATATCACAAAGGGTCTCGATCCTCTCCTCTAAGAATGCAATTCAACTTGTGATCACTTGTGTGCTTTCAACAACTCACTTCCCTCTGATCTCCTCATTAACTGGGTTTTATATTCATGATAATTTGTGTATTCTACTCTACAAGTGCTTTCAAGTCCATGACCTCCTTCCACCCTCGTATTCAGGGTACCACTCCCCATTTGGGGAGGTGAGATGTAATGGACCACGATTTGCACTGTGGACCCCAAACACCAAGTTCGGTGTTTTGCTGGTATACCAGATAGCCTCTTACCTTAGGTTCTTAACCATGGGTAATAAATAAAAAGGATAGAGCTGGCTAAAGAGGAATATAAAAAAATGCTTACTTCAAAATCTGCCATGCTGGCATAGAATAGCATAACTGGTGATCTGTTGATTCCACCAGTATAGATTTTGCTGGAGGAAATAAGTGTCTGTTCATTTCGCTGCTAATCCCCTCCCAGAGCCAACATTGTGTGGTGCTTGGGCTTCGGTGGGTGTCAGACAGATTTGAACTGGGCCTCATCTCTCCCTCTTCCTATGCGCCCCTAGAAGCCCCAGTTCCTTCCTCTGTAGAATGAGAACTACCTCTGGAGTTCTAATGCACTGAGCACAGCGTTTGGCTCACACTATGCACTGGATTCATAGTAACTACCGCCATTTACATTGCTAGGGAGTTTAAGGTTTGCATATCAGTCTTCTTCATCATGCAGCCACGCAGTGGTGCTGAGCCTTTTTTTTTTTTTTCAGTTTCCTTCAGGCAATTCTGATTGGCAGAAAGAGCTCAGAATGAAGGAAGAGAGGGGTGTTGTTGCCAGCTCGGCCCTCCTGCCGAGTGGAGAGGCCCGGTCCTGGCCTCTCCAGTAACTAGAAGGAGAATTCAGTAAAAGGCCCCTTCAGCCCACTGGCACTGACCTGGGGGCAGAGGAGGCTGCTGAGTGGCTGTACGTCCTTCCCTCTTATTCCTGCCTCTGGCTCCCAAACCCCAGTCTCAGAGGTTTTTAGCTATTACTCATTCCTTTTGTTTGGAGGACGCCTTCCCCGGCTAGCTGAGCCTCTCCTGCACTCGCTGCCCGTGGGGTTGGAAACAGGCCCTGGCAAGTTCGATGCCGCTGCTCCTTGGGGAACTTTACCTCCTCGTGGTTCTGCTTGAGGCAGAGCAGCTCCTCCTTCAGGGACTCCACCTGGGCCTCCAGGTCGGACTTGCACAGGGTCAGCTCGTCCAGGATCCTGCGCAGGCTGTTGATGTCCGACTCCACCAGCTGCCGCAGGCCCAGCTCCGTCTCATACCTGTGAGGCATACAGGAGCATTGGAGACCGGCCTGGCCTCGACTCCGGTTTGGTTTGTCAGACGACCGGGGGTTGGGGCTTGTCTGTTTCACAGCCTTCTACTTCATTTAGGCTTCTAACACCAAGAAGTAGCATTTGCAGAAAAATGCACTGGTAATTATTTTTGACAAATAAAGAGCTGGTGGGCTTAAGGGGATAAAAGCCCCCCAAAATGGTGACATTTGCAAAATGAATTCATCTCCCAAATGCTCCTGGTTGAATTCTGTGCATCGGAGGGCATCCGGAGAGCAGACTTCTGCACCAGAGAGGGGATGTCATGCCACAGGGGAGCAGGAGGAAGAGGCTGGATCTGGAGAAGAGTCTGAGCTCCGGGCAGCCTCAGAGATCTCGGGGGAAACCTCCAGGGAGGGGTTTTGCCGGTGTTTGTCAGTGTGAGGGCAGGCGAAGGGGACAGAGAGCAGAGAAGGAAGGCAGCACCCCACGGGCCACTCACTTGGTCCTGAAGTCGTCCGCGGCCAGCTTGGCGTTGTCGATCTGCACCACCAGCCGGGCGTTCTCAGACTTGCTGCACAGGATCTGGAAGACCCAAAACGTTCTAGAGTGAGCTTGGCTGTGTCTCGACAGCAGCCATCCCTACGAATTCACGTATGTGGAAGGCACAGAATGAAAAAAAAATTGCAGTGGATCTTATGTAAAATTATTAAATACTGTGTGTGTGCTCAATAAATATTTAAGAAATTAAATTTGAAAAGAACACCACAATATAAGGAAAGTATCAGTAGATAAATCACTCTCCTTTTTCTTTCCTAATAAGCAATCCTGAAAAGCTGATAGTAAGTAGCATTTATTTTTTAAAATGTACTATATATCTGGCATGGCTCTAAGAGCTGAGGACATAAAGAAGAGTAAGCACCAGATCACTAGATCTTACCCTCAAGAGACTTCTGACCAGTGGGGAAGGTCGATGCGTAAACTAGCAGTTGGGGGGCGGGGCCATGGTGGGGGGGACTGGCTCGAGGAAGCAACCACGCCCTCCCAGCCACCCAGGATGGCTTTGCATTATGTCCCGGTAGATAGTTTTCACTCTTTCTGGCTTTAGCCAGCTGTTTTCTGCCCTTGCTGGGCAGTGCTCGCCAGGAAAAGCCCAGAGCACCCAGAGCAGGACAGCGAAATCGAGGAGATCGGGTGCCCACAGGAGGACAGCAACCAGAGGTCAGAGCGGTCCGAAGTGCAGATGAGGGAAGGGAAAAGGGTTCAGTCTTTACAAACGGCCCCGCTTCCTCAGCTTCCCTCTTGGGTTCCGTTTTTTCTCTCACCCCAGGGTTAATGATTCCAGAGCTTGGCAAAGGCACAGAAGCACTCAGAGACAGCTTTTAATTACAGCTTACTTATGCAAAGTGCTGCTACCACCATATGCAAATACTCATACTAACACTATGCAAATACTCAGACCTAACAGTCCTGGGCCTAGAATAACACGGGCCCTCAAGAAAACAAAGTGGAAAAGCCGGGCTTGAACCCCTGTGTTTCCATCACTCTTAGAGCTCATCTTCTTTCCAAGTCGTATCTCAGATTCCCTCCCTACAACTTCCCGCCCAGGCAGCTCACCTTCTGCTGCAGCTCCTCGATGGTCCGGAAGTAGGACTGGTAGCTGGGGCACATCAGCGGCTCCTGCTGCTGGCAGCGCTCCTGGATGCGGCACTCCAGCTCCGCGTTCTCCCGCTCCAGCTGCCGCACCTTCTCCAGGTAGCTGGCCAGGCGTTCATTCAGGAACTGCATGGTCTCCTTCTCGCTGCCATTGAAGGAGCCCTCGCAGAACCAGCCGCAGTTGCCCACGTTGGCGGGGATGTTGCAGGCCCCGGGCAGGGGGATGTTGTAGCAGCTGGGGGCCACGCAGGGCCGGGAGGGGCAGCCGGAGCGGCAGCTCAGGTTGGGCAGGCAGCAGTTGTAAGGCATGGTGCCGGGAGGGAGCGAGGCGCCGGGCTGAAGACGGAGTCCCAGTTCTCCGAGGAGCATGTGGGTCTCCTTCCCCTGGGAGCCTTTATACCATCCCCGCCGAGGGTGTGGACGTGGCAGCCAGCCCTTTCATTCTCACTTACTTGGTGACTGTCAAAAGCCTTTCCTCTGGGTTTGTCATGTTTCCTCAGAAGAGTCCCTCACCTCATAAAAGTCTTTACTCGGGCTTCTCCCTCGCTCAGCACTCCTCTTCACGCAGCGTGTCAGTGAGGCAAGCGCTTCACACTGTGGCTTCAAAGAGCTGGCCTCGCGAACGCCCTGGCCTTTATTGGCGGGGTGCGGCGGCCCAGGGACACTACTGTTCCTTTGCTCCCAGCTTCACAGCCCTGACTCCTTGGCAAGCCTCTGGCTCCTGTCGCTAAGAGAGCAAAACTTAGCTGCGACCTGTGTGTGTTGGGCTAGGTCAGATTTGCAGATGCCAGATTCCAAATTCGTGGTTCTCAGAACGAGGACGAGATCCCTCTGGAGCCGTTCAAACAGCCTAGTTCCCAATGGCCTTGTTGCCTGAGACGGCGGGCACCATCCACAGCCACGATAATGTCCACGTTCCAGATACCAGACATTTGCCAAGGTCCTAGTTCGTACTGGGAGGGCACTGTGAGGAGTGGAGGGTAAGGCCAGGGCCTCAGTCAGAAGGAGCTGGCCTTTGCTGAGCACCTGCACAGGCCCAGTGGTGCTGGACACTGTTCCGAAACATGATCTCATTCACTCCTCACCGTGACCCTTTAAGGTTAAATGTTGTTGTTCCCATTCCACAGATGCGCAAACCATGACCTGGAGGGTGGGAGTTAATATGTTGAGAAGCCAGGATGCCAGCACAGATCCCTGTTCTTTCCATCATACTGTGCCGTGTAAATAAGTGGATTACCTCCTTCCCTGACTTCTTCAGACCTCAGTAGGTTGGGAGGTTCTGCCTCCGAGGGACTGGGAGAAGCTCAATAGGGACAGTGGGAGCCAGGGAGTGCTGAGGGTGGAGGAGAAGCAGGTTCTCTCCATCCTCCTGTGCCGCTCCGTAGGTACCTCCTTCCTTCCCTGACTTCTGACAGATCCTGTCTTCCTCCTCTCCAGACTCACAGCTCACCTTGAACATGGCATTGTCAGGACTTATGTGGCCACCTGTCTCTGTAGCTGAGTTTTCTGAAGACATGAAGGACCTTTACATCCCTTTGATTTTAGGCTTTATCTTAAGGGCAGTGGGGAACCGTGGAAGGGTCTGAGTAGAGTAGTGATGTAGTTTCGTTCTAGATGAGCTGCATTTGAGGGAACAGGGAAACATTCAGCCGGTCCTCAGGATTGACTGGTATTGATGACAGATGTAATCCCAGTGCAGATGTGAGTGTCGGAGCAATGAGTCAAGGGCAGAGCACTTGAGTGCTCTGAGAAGATCAACGAGGGGCTGAGGGCCAAACTTTGGGAAATTCCCCAACCAGAGAGCAGGACAAAGAAAAAGTGCCAGGGAGAAATGGCGAGAGAAAATGAAGAGAGCCAGTTCTTGGCAAGACAGAAGGTCAAGGAGGAGAGAGCTTCAAAGTGGAGGGGAAGGTCAAAACTGTCAGGTGCGGCCAAGGGGCTCCATAAGATCAGAACCATGGAGAGGGTCTCGGACACGTTGACGGACAAGTTGCCAGGACTCTTCCTTGGTCTCGCACTGTACACAGCACCTGTGCTCTTCAAATAGCACCCACACTGAACTTGGTGAACTGAGACTTTGAACGCCCTGAGCTGAGATGCTGATTGCTAGCCTGCCACAGTCAGTCTGTACACCTGATTAGGAGCTCCTGAGCTTTGCTCTCGCAATTCAGACAGTCTTACAACAATGAGTGTACTTTACCCAGTTTGAGATGTCAGGCTTCTTTGGATCTGACAATTCCTAATAATTGGTGATGTAGGAACAATTAATTACCCAAGAAGCAGAAGCACTCAGAACTGTTTGTGCCGCCTGTAACTTCTGTTTTGTTGCAAAGCATAACATGAAATGTACTTCATATCCTCAAGAGGAGTGTTGAGGAAAGAATTTAGTTGTGTGCCTCGATACAGCGCCCAGGGAAAGGAGGGGCTCCTTCCTAGCGCCCTAGTGGGGGACAGAGCATGACCCAGATAAAGGTGCCCACAGCGGAGTCCGAGCCCCTCGGCTTCAGCTGCAGTTCAAAGGCCAGACTGCTTTGCATTTGGCTCCTCCTTTCCTCCCTTCCGCCTCTTAAAGGAGAGCTGAAATGACAAAATTATCAAAAGAGAGAAAGTCCTGGAACAAGAGCGATGGCAGTGATCTTAATGATTATCTCATCCAATGCTCTCATTTTACAGATGGGGAAACTGAGGCTCAGAATGGAGAAATGGCCTGGGAATGGCCCCAGTGGGGGGGGAGCAAGAGGCAACCACACACTGATGTTTCTCTCTTTGGCCTTCCCTTCCCCGCTCTCTAAAAATAAAGTGTTTAAAAAAAAGAATAAAGGGTGAATGAGGAAATGAGAGAATTCAGCAATACTGAAGTACTTTGTTGCCTCTCTGACTGCAATGATTATTTCCATATTGATGATACAGTTACATCCCAACAGCTTGAAGCAACTTGTGTACAATTATGTCCCATCAGATAGAGAAGCTTCTCCTACCAGCTGGAGAAACTTAGCATCACAACTGTTCAAATGATAGTGTCCCTACTCAAGAGCCATACATTTACCCAAAATAAAGTATGCAAATAGTCATAACAAAATTAAAAGTAATATGATTTTAACAATGAGGACAACTGAGAGATAAAAAAGAACCCCACGACAGTGATGACACTGGGTGCTCCTAAACGGTAGGATTATGAGTGCTTGCTTTTTCTTCTCTACACTTTTTTGTCTTCTCCAAATCTTTTGAAAACATATGTATTACTTCAGCACACACATACCAAAGAAGACATAAAATTGATGTTAAAAATTCCAACAGGAAATTCTTACAAGCCTTCTTGAAAGAAATAAGGAGTTGTAAAGGACCCGGGCAAGGCTCCTATTCCAACATCAGTGTTACACTGCAGTAGCACTTGTTATTCTGGAAATAGGGACTCTGTCATGATTAGCATCAACACCCTTGGGGTAACTGGTGAGTTTGCAGATTGCAAGAGGGAGCTGTTCGGAAGTGTTGAGGGGAAGCTATGAGATCCAGTGACCTCTAGCTCATGAGTGGACCACTGTGTGGGACTGAGCTTCCGGTGAGGAGAGGAGAATGCCCAGAGCAGCAAGCCTCAGAGAAATGTCCTCCCAGTCGACTGTCAGCCCGCAGCCCAAGATGGCCGGGTATGAGGGCCACCTCACTGAGCACTGTCTGTAGAATAGATTTCTCACACAAACATCTGATGATAAAGTTTCTTTTCGGCAAGCAGTGTCTGAGTCCCATGAAGTTTAGAATCTCAGAATGTTGGTGCTACCAAGGACCCAGGCAGGCAGCTCACCCAACACTTCCATTTTGCAAATGGGGAAACATTGACTTAGAGGTGGAAGAAACCAGCCGAAGCACACGCGGAGAGTTTGCGGTTCATGGGAGAGTCTAAGGGGAGAAGTAGGTCAGACTGGAGGACCGAGGGGCAGGAGACGAGGCCTTTGGTGGTTGTGAGAGAGTTGGAACTCGGACCACAGGAAAAAGCTACATCTCCCCAAAACTGCCCCCTAATGAAAAGGCAAACTAAAAAAAAAAAGTTTATGTTCATTGTTACAGGAAGATTTTTTTAAATAGAAAAGGCTCTATGCAGCAGAAAGAAAGAAGGAGCTCCTGCCCTTTGCAACAGCTTGGATAGAGCTGGAAAGCATTGTTCTAAGCGAAACAAGCCAGGCGGTGAAAGACAAATACCATATGATCTCACCTTTAACAGGAACCTAAACAACAAAACAAAGAAACAAGCAAAATATAACCAAAGGCACTGAAATAGAGGACAGGCTAACAGTGACCAGAGGGGAGAGAAGAGGGAATTTCAGAGGAGAATGGGAAGGGTTTACAGGAACAAATTTAATGGACACGTGGACAAAAACTAGGGCGGGTGGTAATGGGAGGGAAGTGGGGAGGGTTGGGTGGGTGGGCTGGATTGGGAGTAAAAGGGAGAAAACTGTACTTGAACAATGATTAAAATAAAATTAAAAAAAAGAAAAGGCTGAACTGTCTTACTGGGTTCTAATTTAAAACATTATGCTATATTTTCAAAAGCCCGTCACAAAATGCCACACATTGTATGATTCCATTCACAGGCGATGTCCAGAGTAGGCAAATCTGTAGAGAAAGAAGTGGCTTCCCAGTCCTGGGGCCGAGGGGTGATGAGATGTTCTAAAACTGTGGTAAAGGTGACATGATTTTATCAACATATTTAAAATCACCAAACTATATACTTTATATAGGTGAATTTTATGGCACATGAATTTTATATTATGATACGAATTATACTTCAATAAAGCTATTTTTAAAATGATTCAGAAGGAGAAAACAGAATAGGACAGAAGCAATATTCAAAAATGACAATGGCTGAGGATTTCACCCAGGCACTGAGACACATGAGTCGGTTCCAGAAGCACCTCAGTCCTAAGAAGGAAAACAAAGACCCACCTCTAGACATAATTCGGTGAAGCGACACAACACTGGAAGCAAAGGGATGATCTTAGAAACAAAAAGATTTAAAAAAGAAGAATTATCAACAATAGAACCACAGTGTGATTGGCAGTAGGCTTTTCAGCCATGGCAACAAAACCCAGAAGACAGTGGTCCCTGTCTTCTTGGGCACCTGTCCCTTCTGCAGGTAACTGTTGGTGGACGGTGGTCCCAGCACGCATGGGCACCTGATGAGACTGATTGCACAGGGGTATCTGTACAAGGCCTGGAGGTGTCTCCTAGGGATGAACTGTCCCTGCAGGAAGGAAGAGAGACTGAGATGCACCATCTGGGTCTGAGACGTGCCATGCACGGCCTGGTGTGCCACTCAGTCACCTTCCAGGGCCTCCTGCCTGTGCT